TTGGTTATGCAAATACTAAAAGACTACGGAGTAACAACTGCACAATATCTTATGTAGACGCAGCCAGAAAATAACAAGGCTTTTTTGTTTTGCCTTTCCCTTACAAATACTAGTGTAAGTACAAATGATTTTATATCACGTTGTTGCTCCTTGTGCTTAAACTATGAAGAAATATTTTTTAGTTTCATCCATGTAGCGTGCACAAGATGCCTTGATCAATACTCCCCTTTGTTTTTCAGAGACCACCACAGATGGTGTTTTTAGTTGCACTGTAAAAGTAACATACATTATCACATTAAATACATTTTTGTTGCCCAAGAAATAGACTTGTTTGGAAGAATATTAACAGTGGTATTTGCAAGCAATCCTAGTGTTCATTTTGACCCAATATTTATTTGTTGTGTTTATCTGATAGGATCAAAATTGTATATAAAAATGTGTTTAGAGAAGCTCAGGTTAGTCTAGTTGGAAGTCTTTTTGGTAGGAGTTCTGACAACACCCATGGAAGTATTTTGTTAGCACATGTTCTGCCTCTAAAAAGGGACAGTAAAAGAGAGTACTGCTAGCTTGGAATCACAAAAGAGAGGCTTGGCTGATGTGTACTGAAAAAACTGCAGGTGTATCTTGGGACATATGCAGTATTAAAGATTCATGAGCTATACTACCTCCCGTTTTTCCTCACACACCCACAAAGCAGGAAATCAAATCAGCAAAAACCAAGATTTCCTTATGCTTTTTTATTTAGTTAACATCTTAATGAATATGTTGATGAAAGGTGTCAGTTTGTAGCCTGGAACATAGAACAAGTAGCTGCCCATCTTCTTTATGTAGCATTCAGATGTACCTGTATTGTGTTCTGGAGGTAATGGACCTAGGATGAGAGCTATGATTAGTCAGCTTTCCTGCTTACTTGTCCACTGGTCTCTCTCCATAGGCAGCAAAGCTGTTGATTGTCCACTTCTGTGGACATTGTACTACAGAAACTGAGGTCCACCAGTTCATTCCACAGGTCCCACTAAACTTCCACCAAATCTCTGCTTTAAGACATTACCGACTTGTGCTGATTCATGTCAGCAGTCTAAGGTGGAAAGGTTTATGTCTTGCTTCCAGTCCTATGAGCCACCCTTAATATGACAGTATCTCAGCCCAGGCAGAACATTGCAGGGAGGATAAAAGAAAAATCAGTCACAGTACAGAGAAAAACTTTTTCTTGTCCCTAAATAGAGAGCTTCATGTAAATCTTATGTAAACGATAGAGAATTATTCCCTTCTTTTTGCAGAAGGTATGTCTTACCGTTCCAAAGATAAAATGTTCTTTAGCATCCTCTGCCCAAGGAAAAGGAAATGAATTTCATAATTGATTTCTGACTGTGTGCTAAGTTCTGGCCATGGCTAGGGAGATGGTCAAATGTTCATCTGTAGCCCTGTGAAGTGCCTCAGCACTTTGTAGTGCTACAAAAAATAGAGCATGATGGGGTGTTCAGATGTTTCATCTTCTGGCTGGAGAGTTACAAAAGTTGCCTCAAAGGTGTGCTTTCCATCCAGGAGGCAACAGGGGGCTTCTCTTGTTGCCCCTGCCCCTGGAGGAGCCTGTCAGTGAGCTCCATTACTGACAGCATGCCCTCTCCAGCAGGCTGTCAGAGGTCAGTAGCTTTTCCTAGCATTCCTGTGGTGGTGGCAGTGGCAGCTCTTCCCACTGCTGGCACCCGCACAGGACCAGGGCTTTTCCAGCTGTTCCCCCAGAGTCAGTGGCAGTGGCACAAGTTGTTTTTCCTAGTGTCCTTACAGCAGCAGTAGCAGCTCTCGCAGCAGCAGCAGGAACGATTTCTGATGCCCACAACAACAGAGGCACTGGCTCTTGCCAGTGCTCTTACTGTAGCGTGACAACAGGGTCCTGGCAGGCCTCCCTGATACTTCGCTATGGCAAGCTGTCAGGGAGTCTTCTGCTCTCCCCCACCCCTTGGAGGAGAGTAGGGAGAACAGAGGACTGGGATGTTGGGAGTCCAAGGTACCCTGACAGAACTTTATGCCATTAGACAGATGTTGTCCTACAAAATGTATTGAGACAAACAAGTTCCTTTTTGAAAGTAGTGGATTTGCCTTCTTTTTTGCTCTACAGATGGTGTGCACATCTGTACACCAGCTTTTTGTAGCATTACAGTGGTATTTGTAGCATTTAAATGTAACGTATGTCTGTAGCCTCTATAGCTGCCCTCTAAATGTTTGTTGTTTAACAGTTGCTGCCTATGCATAGTTAAAATGGGCAGAACTCATCCCTTCTGTGACTCAAGTGAAGTAGGGTTCAAGAGACTGAAACAGAGAAATATTTTCTTTTGAAATGCCTAATGACTGCCAGCTGTAGAATTTGCTTAGCCTGGCTATTATGTTTTGAAACATGTTATGCAGATTTTTTATTAGAGCCTCAGCAGATGCTTACATGAAAACTAAACCCCCAGTTACATTTGTGTCTGCTGGGTGTTTGCTTAGGGCTGCTACTTTCAGATTTGATGAGCACCTGCACTCCATTTGTCCTCAGCATTTGAACATACTCTCAGTATTCTTGTTCTTGTGTATCTCTGGTGAACACAGAATCATTAGAAAAGCCATTTTTGAGATTGCACCTTAAAATGAAGTCCTTCCTGCCTATTGAAGAGCTGTTCCCTTGCCCTCCAAGCAACCTCTGTAAACAGTCTTACTGGTTTGCTAAATTTTGAAAATGCTTTGAAATGAAAATGTACTTTGCATGTCTGTGATGATCAAAGCAGCAGCATTGGTCCCAGATGGTAGTTCAAGGTCTCCTAAAAGCCCTTCTCAAATGGAAGAAGCACAACAGAGCTCACTGTCGTGACTAGTGTTTCCCTTCTCAAACAGTTTTAGATGCCACATGCTGATCTACTTGCTTGCCTGATCACTGATTATGAAAATGTAACTACCTTACTTATGAATAGTTCTATTCTGAAGAGTCAGGGTTTTGTTACATGACAGTGCTACTGCTGTTACAGCTTTTCCTACATAGCTATGTTATAAGAGCCCCCTAGTAGAGATAGGATGTAAGATGGAAGAAGGGGTTTTTTTCTATTGACACAGTCACACCATTTCCCTGAATGACAACAAAGCTAACCGTAGATCTCTTCTGTCAGCATAGCTGTGTGCCGCCTGGGGGGTTTTCCAGCATGCCAGTTTACAATGAGCAGCGATTGTTTCACACCCCCAACCATCATAGATGTTTGAACAAAGTTTGTAGCTCATCATAGAATCATAGAAAATTCGGGTTGGAAGGGACCTCAGGAGGTCATCTAGTCCAACCCCTGCTCAAAGCAGGACCATCCAAAACTAGATCAACTAGAAGGAGAACAGTTTAGCTCCATCCTCTTTGGAACTACCCTTCAGGTAGTCGAAGGTTGCTATTAAATCCTCCCTCGGTCTTCTCTTCTCCAAACGAAATAAGCCCAGCTCCCTCATAAGCCATATGCCCCAGCACCCTAACCATTTTCATTGCACTCTACTGGACTCCCTCCAAATTCTCTATATCCTTTCTTTAGCGGGAGGAGGGGTGCCAAAACTGGACACAGTATTTCAGATGTGGCCTTACCCATGCAGAATAGATGGGAATAATCACTTCCCTCAATCTGCTGGCAGTGCTCCTACTAATACAACTGGGTATGCCATTAGCCTTTTTTGCAACAAAGGTACATATTCATCTTATTGTCCACTGTAACCCCCAGGTCCTTTTCTACAGAGCTACTGCTTAGCCAGTCAGCCCCCAGCCTGTACTGGTGCTAATACAATTCGGTGGTTAGCTTATAGTTAGTATGTTCAGCAAATGATCACAGCATAAATCTGGAGTTGGTTTGTTTTTAATATATTCCTACTTGAAATAAAGAGGTGACTTTTTATATTCATCACAGCCATTTTTGTACTTTTCCCCTGCACAGTTCCTGGCATCTGCTCTGCTTGCAGACCTGCCAACCTGTTTCAGATAAACAGTCACATTTTGGTGTTGTTTATCAGCTACGTTCTAATCCTCATGCATGTAAAGTACATTTAAATGAGTTCTGCATTGCTACAGGCAGAATTGTGCCCTAATTTTGCAGTTTTATGAGAGTTAAATTACAGTATTTTAAAATATTGATCTTTTAAAAACATTAGCATGAGAAAAAATGGGAAAGAAGTTGTTGGAGTTTTCATAGGAATTTCACCATGGGTTCATTATCTGTTCACATTTTATCTTTTTCTCTAAAAAAATACTTTAATTGTTGCTGTTTGCTTAAAAGCTGAAGTGGATGCTTTTCCCTTGAACACTGACGCCCTGGTGCTCTGATATTAGGAAAAGTCCTCTTGCTCAGGATAGAGAGAATGGCAGCACAGGAGTATGTAACAGAAAAGTGTTGTCTGTCTTCAAAGTATAAAAACACTAATACCTTCAGAATGGGGAGATGTTTCTTTTCTCAGAAGGAAACAGGCACTGGTACTCTAAAGACTGCATAAAGAGAAAGATGACACTTTGTGCCGACACCAGTGCTGGATAAGGGATACACTTTTGATTTTTTTTTTAATCAATCTCACAACTCTAGAAAATAAAGCATTGTAAAACTATGAGAAAAGACATGAACATATGAAACTTGCTACAGGAAAAAGTGTTCTTTTGGTTAGCTGAATAATGATAGTGTTTAGAAGGAGTCACTGCAATTTTTAATAGAGAAGTATAATTATTTTTATTAAAATCAACTTCATTGTTTAGAAGAAATCGTAATGTTTAGACAAAGTTAAAAGATTCCAGGGTATCATTAAATAGAGTAAGGGGCTTTGACTTTCTTATTCAAAAGGATTTCTGAATGCATATCATTGAAGTTATAATACAATTATTGTCTTTATTTTTTCTTAATTTCTCTTCTTAGACTATTTTGAGGATTGTGGTTCTTGGCATATGGGATTATATTGAAAACAAAATAGAGGTAAGTGAAAGTACCACAGTCAACACTGTTTGCATTATTTTTCAGCATGGCAAAGTAAGAATAATTAACTGTTCCTGCACTGGATTTGATACAGGAACGGATGCAAAAGAGGTATGTTTCCATTAATATTTGCAGAGCCTTATACATGTTCCTCCCAACACAGTAAAATTAAAGATACAAATTAGTTTCTGCAGTGGATATGGCCTTATCTGACTGATACAAGTTACAGCAGCATTTAAACAAATCTGTTTTCTTGCACAATTATATTGTGTTTTTTTCTGACTTGTGTAGACATGAGTTTATTTTTAATAACCATGCTAATTAGACTCTCAGCACTGCAATTATAACTGAGACTGGTTACCAATATGATCCAGAATTATGTGAACTGCAGCTAACTATGTTCTCATAACCAAGATAAATTAAAAATAGTTTGAAAATGTTTGCCAAAACAGTTTTCTGTTAAAAAATGCTGTTTTGGCTGAAACAAATGTTGTGAAATTGTATTAATTTTGATGAAATTTAAGTTTTGAACAAAGTGGAAAAAGTTTTAAACATGTCAAAATGTCCCATTTCTTGATTTTTAGAATAAAAAGGTTATTTTTCATTACAAAATTACTTGTTTAACGTTTTTACTTCATTTTGTACACAAAGGTTTAAAAGAATATAAAGGACTGAAATTTAATAAAACATGCAAATGTATTCTGTCAAGTAAAGTAAGATGATTTTTTGAATTTCAGAAAATATTGGCTTTTATCCTGAATGAGGATTATTTTTTAAATATATGTATCAGACCCTTTCATCCAGCATAAATCTATTTTTTGTCTAGTTCTGATTCGACCCCTAGGTCAAATCAGAGTCCAAGGTTGCTGCCCATTTGTAGCAACACTTAGACATTGTATACAATGGCGTCCTTAGCCATATTGCTAACTCATCCTCAGACTTGATTATGTTTTGTTATGTAGGCAGAGCTTACAGACAGGTCCCCTTCCACCCAAACAATCTTCATTACAGTTCTGCAACAGACAATAATTTCTTGTCCATTCTTGTCGAAGAAACTGTGTTAAGAACTTGTAAGCAATAACTGTCTCTAAGAACTGTATACTTGGATCGAAATCAGGAACAGATAGGGCCTTATTATATCTACCAAACAAAATGATTATTAAGAGCATACGCTGCAAAAGTACAGCAGTATTTAATATACATTTTAATTTAATTATAAGATTCGGCTACATTTTCCTGCATTTCAGAGACCAAAGACAGTACAACAGAAAATGTTATCTCCATTCAGTTCCCATAGTTACATAAAAAGACTTCTTACATCTAACCTTCACACTGAGAAAAAAAAGCTCCCATTCCCACAAGTGGATTTTTCCCCTTATATACATTATTCATAGTTTAGAGAAGCTTGCCGACTAATTACATTGAAAAGCTTGCAGAAAGCATAAAGAGGAAACAATTGGCAGCAATTTTACCTCATTTTTTGTACAGTATTCCAGAGGCAGACAGAGAAATGCATGTGTTAAAGCATCATAGAACAAAACCCCAACCTAACCATAAATCCCAAAACCAAAAAAAATGGAAGACTGCTCTGAAAGAAGCAGAAATTAATAGGATTCCACTCATCCGTTCAGATAGCAATTTGAGTGCTTTAAAAGGGAGGGAAAGAGAGATTCTGTTTTTTCATTGCCCATAAAAAGCTGTATTTAGAGCCGTGCAAAATCTTGTATAACTAAACATAACTACTTTGTCTGGTTTACTAAGTCTTAGGTTTGACTATTCAAAATGAAGCTTATACTATTAGTTGGAAGTAACATAGTACTTGGTGTTATCCAGGCCAAACACAGCTGTTTCAGCAGAATTCTGTTTTGTATTTGAAGTGAAGTGGTCTGTTATAGCATCCTATCTGTGGTGACTGCTTGTTTCTTGCCCTGGCACTGAATTAATGCACATTTTTTTATGTGTGATATTATTAAAGGTAACATTGTTTCTGTCTGTACAAACCATGAGTAAATGGGTCTTAATAGGGACTGGGGGCACTGTATTTTCCTAAGCTGTGGAAGACCAGCACTATTACATAATGCCATCTTCTCTGTTGGCTATGATATTTAAAACCTGCTTCTCAAACAAATCTATCCATACCTTCATCTGCAACTGTCCTCCTTAACATAATCCAAGGCCACTAATGTTTCCTTATTCAGATCCTGCTTGAAGGTTCACCTTTGCTGTGACTCCTTCAGGAAGCTAGCCAGTTGGTAATGGAGTCCTTGATAATTGGAGTCGGTATATCTTTGACCTGCACATAATACCCACACAAGCTGAATAATCAGAATGTGTCCAAGTGCCATCACTCTTATTTATTTGCTGTTCCTTTTTACACCAACTCTTTCTCCCTGTCTGTTTTGTCCATTTAGAATGTCAGATATTTGGACAGGAACAGTTTCCTCTTTTGTGATTGTTCTGCACCAAGCATCCGGAAATAAGTAGCATTAATAATGCAGCTCCTGAATTGAAATAGCATTTGGGGCATCACCTCTTCATGGAGATTGTAACCAGTGGATCAGTATAGTTCCAGATTCCTCCGGCCATATCTTCATGTCACCCCTGAAATTTTGAATGAAACCATTAAGGTTTTCTGCTTTCCAGCATGAAATGATGCATCTTCCCCATGGTCTTCACCCTATGTCCTCACCTTAACACAGAGAATAAATATTAACTTCATTCAAAACCCTTTAAGGCCACCAACAGGAGTGGCAGCTTTTGTGACCTTTGGAAAGGATTTGGAAATACTCTTCATTAAAAATCTTTCTCCTTTCAGGTCTTTGATGGCGCTGTGATAATCTTATCCTTGGCTCCAATGGTGGCCTCCACAGTGGCCAATGGCTCAAGCAGTCCATGGGATGCCATCAGTCTCATTATCACTCTGCGGATTTGGAGAGTTAAGAGAATTATTGATGGTAAGTGGTGATTAAATGGTGTCATGAGAATTCCCAGGATTGGTAGCCCTCATAACTGTTTGTAGAGAATAATTTTATTGTTCTCTTTCCTCTACATTTTAAAAGCAGTGAACAGGTATATAGCATTATGATCCCCATTGATGAGACTGGGAATCAGTTTTTAGGATAAATACCCTGTTATGATTTTTTTTGTTTGCTATATGCCCTCTCCTGGCATACAGATATATGTGACTTGTTTTCCCTCCTGTCTTTTCTCCCCAAACAATCCTTCTTTGTAGTGTCAGATAAGCATCTTGAATATGACCCTTCTGCAACCGCTGTCTGTCCACTCTGGCATCTTCCATCTTTGATCACTTTTGCTTTTGGTTTCTGCCTTTAGCACAACTCTGTGTCTGATGCTTTGTGCTTTCTCTGCATCTTGGAAGTTCCCCACTGAAGGTGCACTCCGCAAACCTATGTGTGCTATTGAGTGTGATTTTTAGGCATGTTCCAGTGCTATTTTGCACAGAATTCTGGGACACGCCTCCACTGGGGAGGCACCAGGAGAACATTTTGAAAAGGTGACACTGCAGAGAACAGGAGCAATGAATCTGGAAACAAGGAATCAAGGAAAGGAGATGTTAGACGAGGTGGAGGGCAACTAGATCCATTATCAAAGTATAAGTTGCTTTGGTATAAACCTAAGGGATTTCATAATGCAAGTCACTTTCCTTCTGTGTGAGAAAAATTAGTATCAGGTTGGCACGTCTGGCTTAGATCATGAGGGCTTCCAAAATGCAAGATGAGACCCAGTAGTTTAGTAGGGTGAAGTCAGAGTCTGATTCAGGTTCTAAAGAATAGCAAGGAATGCAGTAAATTTTGAGCAGTCTTGCCAAGCAATTTGAACTTGCCCTAGTTGTGACTTGAAGGAGATTTTTCTAGGTGGGTAGGCATCCAACTCCTGTTGAAGTCAGTAGGAGTTGGTTCCATTCATACCTTTGAAAATCTCTCTCATAGTCTATAATTTCCCTTTATATAGTTACTTTCTGCAGTTATATTTAAGAACCAAAATGCTCAAGGACTAAAATACCTCTCCTGGAAGCTGGTGCATACCTAAAAAACATACAAAATTGGAGGGGATGAATGGGACACCAAGCAGAGAACACTCCTGCCTGGCCACTGAGAAGAACTAATATTTGCTGGGATAGACATGCATTTGTGTAAAAGATCAGGCAAGTGTTGCAACAATATTTCAACTAGTGACAGAGATCTCACTGTGTGCATCTACATGTGCATTTGCTCTGGGGTGGGTTTACTCTAGAGTAAAGTACTGTGGAGTAAACCCACTGTAAGCAGATGTCTACATGTGCAGGGATGCTGCAGCAGCTCATCTGCTCCTGGCTGCAGTCTGTTCCCACCCCCTCTGGCCCTGCACTGGCCCCCTGCAGTAGCCAGGGAGAGCTATAGGCTCCTCCTGGGTGGTAGACCAGGGGCAGGCAGGGAGCACAGGGCCAGGAGACAGCTGTCTCCTGACAGGGGCTGGGAGATTGCTCCCTGCTCTCAGGGGGCTGCCTGCTGCTGAGGTAGGCTCCACCACTGCAGCCCGGGAGGGAACAATCTCCCCCTGCCCCAGCAGAAGGGAGCTCCTGGCCCCGGCTCCCCAACTGAGGACAGGGAACTTGGAAAGAGCTGCAGGAGAAAATCAGGTCCCAGCCCCCTACCCCAATCTACTGATGCGGCAGCTAGCAGCAAGGCCTTGTCTGGGTGGGCATTCCCACCCAATCAAGGGCTTGCTGCTAAGTGCTCCACCAGCAGATCAAGGCAGGAGGCTGGGATCTGCCCACTCCCCGCCCCCCGCAGCTCTTTCCAAGCTTTACACCTCAATTGCCCTATTGGGGCATGAGGCTGGGGCCTGCCCCCTGACCAGGACAGTTACCAGCCCCCACTCCACCATTGCAAGGCAAGGGCTGGGAGCAGTCTTCCCACCTTTGCTCTGCGATCATGATTAGGGAGTGGGGGCTGGGAGCTGCCCGCTGCCAGGGCATGGAGACATCCAGTGCCCCAGTAGCAGGCATCTCCCGGGGGCAGGGAGCAATCTTCCACCCCTTGCTGCCCAGCTGACCAGGAGCAAGTTTGCCCCCAGTCAGGTGTCTACACAAGTGCTACTGTGCAGTTACTAATCTTGAGTAAATTTGCTATTTGCATTTACAGGTAGCAAATTTACTCATGATTAGAGCACATTCCTGTGCAGTGAGCATCTGCATATGTAGATGTGGACACTTACTGCGCAGTACTTAACTCTTCTGCACAATAAAGCGTGTCATATATTTCATAGATTTCATAGACATTAGGGCTAGAAGGGATCTTGCAAGATCATGGGGTCCAGTCCCCTGCCTAAGGAGCAGGAAGTAAGCTGGGGGTCAAATGATCCCAGCAAGATAGGCACCTAAGTGTTCCTTAAAATGTCCAGAGTAGGTGCTTGCACCACCTCTGCAGGGAGTCTATTCCAGGCCCTGGGGACTCGGTCAGTAAAGAAGTTTTTCCTTATGTCCAACCTAAAACATTCTTCCAGGATTTCGTGACCATTGGACCTTGTCTTCCGTAGGGGTGCCCTGTTGAACAGACGTTCTCCCAGTTCCTGATGCACATCCCTGATGTACTTATAGGCTGCCACCAAGTCACCCCTGAGCCTTCGCTTCTCCAGGTTGAAGAGTCCCATGCCTCTCAGCCTCTCCTCTTAAAGCCTGCTCTCTTGTCCTCTAATCATGTGCATGGTTCTCCTCTGGACTCTTTCAAGCTTCTCCACATCCTTTCTAAATCATGTAGATGCACCCACTGTAGATCTGAGAATTTCTGATGCCCAAAGGTGGAGGTCCTTATGATTACGTAGGATAGATAACCTTTTCTAAAATAAAAGCTGTAGCTGAACCACAAGTGTTTGTGTTTAATGCAGGAATGACTGGGTGAAAATCTACATCCTTTTGTTCATAGGAGATTAGATTAAATCTAAAGATTTTTTGTAGTCTTAAAATCTAGGAAGATGTTCCATTGAATAAGTAAAAATATAGATAAATTTCCTCAAGTTTTTACTTGTGTTTTTTAGCCTACGTACTACCAGTGAAAGTGGAAATGGAAATGGTGATTCAACAATATGAGAAGGCAAAGGTCATTCAAGATGAACAGCTGGAAAGACTAACCCAGATCTGCCAAGAACAAGGGGTAAAGTTCAATTATGTTTTTATTTACATATTTCTTGTCTGAGATATTGATGTCATGGTGACGGAAATGGCCTGTGTGAGTTGCCAGATCTGAGATTAGAAAAACTCTATTAGAGTTTCATTAGAAAAATTACAGGCTTCAACATGATCCTGCAGGAGCCTCAAGTGTTGAGGGGCTGGCAGCTTCCTGCAATCCTTAACTGCTATATGTGAAACAGACATGACTTTAGACCAGATGGGTGTTTCAAACAGTTTTACCTTTAAGTGGGGATAGCAACTACTTCTTTTCATTTTTTAAAGGAGAAAGCAAATGAGCACTTTTCTAATAACTCATTTATTAGCTATCTATGGAAATCTTGACACAATAAACAGAGTAAGTGGATGTTGTCACATTTACTGGACATTGCATTTGTATTAATCCTATTTGCAGTAAAAGAACATACAGTGGAAAGCTAATAAATTGCCTAAAATCCTGCTTGCTCTGAAATTGCACTAGCTTTAAATGCAGCAGGCAGCTTCCTAGTGCATCTGTTTGAGACTTCTGGCAGACTCAAAAATACTGCAGTAGAAGCTTCTAGTTGCTGGAAGCGACTCAAGATTTTTCAGATCCTCCCAAGTCCAATTGTATATAGTAATTCAGTCTTTAAAGAAAAGTGAGATGCAATGCAAAGTGTTTCACATGACTACATTTAAAAAAAAGGTGGGGAAAAAATATCACTGTTCTGGCAGTGACCCAAGTGTTTTGAATTACAGTTGGTAGCACAAAAAGAACTATTGAATTACTTGTTTTTAAATCTATTCTCTTTAGCAAAAGCCAGTTGCATGCAGCCAACCAAAGCTAAGTTGAGCATCAGGTTGTCTTTCAAATAAAACATTGTTGTCCCATAAAGATTATTTCTGTTCTTATTGGACAGTGGTAAATATTTGTATTCCAGTTACAATTAGATACTGTGACTGAGATCAGTGCCCCATTGTGCAAGATTCCTGTACAAACACCCAAAGAGTGAGACCCTCTCCCAGAGCTTAAAGTATAAGTGTAAGAGCAATAAGAAAGACATGGAGAGAGGGAGCGACTTGCCCAAGGTCACACAACAGGCCAATGGGAGAGCTGAGAACAGGTACCTAGGTCTCCTGCTTCTGATGCATTGTGATCAGGGATAATGGGAATTGTGTATTTTCTGAATTTAGGGAGTTCAGTGCTGACTGTTTTCAAAGGTAGTTGTTCACAGCACAGCACTCTTTGGACAACTTGTAAATTTACCTTTAACTAGTGTCTAAGTACTAGGCCCCAGTCCTAAAGCAAATTAACTTAAAGTCTTTCTTCTAAATGAAAGTCTCTGCAGAACTATATCCTTAATTTTTCCAAACGTTAGTAATAATGCTTAACAGAACTACACATGCCTTTGTTAACTCATCCTCTTACTGCCTCTGTAAGTAAGGTAGACAAATTGTATTATCCCTGTTTTGCGGATGAATGAAAAATTATCATTTCACCAAGACCACACAGTAAGGTAGTGATAGAGGGGGGATTTGAACACAGGATTTCCTGAATAGTGATAGAAAAGGAATTTGAACATAGGATTTCCTGAATCCCATTCCAGTATTTAATCTGTTAGCCCACACACTTATTACAGCTCTTCACTTAAAGGGATAGTGGAAGGTTAAAAAACAACCATTTTAATACACGTATTTCTATGTTTGTGTTGAATTTGTTGACCTGTTAAAACTCTAGTATTGGGCTTGATTGCTTCTCATTAAAGTGGAAGTAACCCCCTTTATACTGTCAGAGTGGTGTAAAAGGATTTAGTGGACATGAATATTGGACCATCCAGTCTAATCATGGGTTTTGTGTTTGCTTTTCTTATGACATTTTTCTAAGTGCAAAAATAAAAACAAGCCCATTTCCTTTGTGCTCCTTTTCCTAAACATCTGCTAAAGTGAGCTCTGGCTCATGAAAGCTTATGCATCTCTGATTCATTTAGTCTATAAGATGCATCTCTACCCTGCCTCCTCCCTTTTCCTTTGGTTATGTTCCCTTTCACTTTTAGGGTCTCAGCCTGAGCGGACAGTGTTTAGTTTGAGACACTGGGGGGTGGTAATTTTATTTTTATTCTTGCATTTCATCAGAAGGGATAGAGTAAATTGTAACTGTAACATTTCTTTTAGTCCTGGGAGTTTGCTAAATTTGGATAACTTCATGGTACCCAGGCAAAACGCCTTGCATCTTACAGCGTTTACAAGAGCATCAGGCATTAGGGCAAAGAAGAGTCCGACTAATACTAGATTCTGCCAACACCTACCAGACATAGCCTGTGCTGTCAGTCAGCACACCCATACATTACACCAGGGGTTTTCAACCTTTTTGGATCAGTATACCCCTGGTGG